GCGCATATGCGTGTGCGCAAGTGCAGAATACGTTTTCGCCTGCGCGTTTAATGTATAACAGACGGTGTTAGCTAAAATTATCTAATTATCTATTTCACTTAATGTTAATGATTGCGTTGTTCCTTTACCTTCTAATTGGATTCCGCTTATTATTTTTTGCAGACTGTAAGAGCAATTTTATAAAAGTAAACTTGAACTTTCGATTATGTCAATTAGAATTTCCGATGCTGGAACTTCCAAAGGATCTACAAAACGAAAGTATGTTTCGATGTCCAACAAACAAAAAGTGGAATTCCTGCAAAAAATGGATAAAGACATGAAGAATGTGACAGAGAGGTTAGTGAAAACGAAAAAATTTCGATTGACAAGTTAGTCGGTATTCTCGGCACAGCAATTAACGAGACTTGAACGGCGGAGCTTTGTAACTGAACAAGAAATTATGTCTTTTTATAGAATTAAAGAGAAAGTATTATCACATAAAATGAAGCAACTTAAACAACTTACATTGAGAGAAATGTTTAATAAAGTAAACAAATAAATATTAAGCTTTTTTTTTTGTAAATTTTGATACCCTTTAGATCATAATTGTTCTTTATTTCATAAATTATGGTTTCATATTTTTAATTTTATAATTTCTGCATGCCATCTTACGAGATTTAAACTGATGATCTATAATCCGGAATCGCCGAAGTCCCGACGAGTCTGGATTAACGACTTTTGACTGTACTACAAAAAATTTGCACATGCAAGGACAAAACCCGAAGCAATTATTTGTAACGTTTTTTCACTATATTCGTTTTCACACTTGCAGAAAGAATTGGATAAATGCACATTTTATGTCCATATATTATGATGCTTCCAACCACAAAGATTTAAAATTATTTCCCACAATTGTTAAACTTTTTGATCCCGAAACAGAAATTAAAATATTAGATTTTGATTCACTGACGAGTGAAACTTTTTTTTCCCAATGGCAGATTGTGAACAGTTACAGTTTTGTAACAGAGTCCATTAATCTATACTAAGGCCAGATGTGGTGGTCTCTTTATTACGGAGGTACTTAATAGGTGGGCCACTACTGCCTCCTATGAAGGTACAGACAGTTACAACCATGTCTTCTCTGCGATTCGGTTTCACGGTCCGGCTCCCCTAACCGCTATACTGTCTGGGCGGCTGCCGGGTGAAACTTCAAAAATAAATTTTGATTCAATACGTACTAAAGTCAAAAGTTGTTAATTCGGACCTCAAAGTTACAAACTTTCTGCGCATGTGGACGGTATAAGCTAAAATTATCTAATTATCTATTTCAGTTAATGTTGCAGATTGTGTTGTTCCTTAATCTTCGAATTGGATCCAGCTTATTATTTTTTGCAGACTGTTAGAGCAATTTGATAAAAGTAAGCTTGAACATTTGTTTATGTCAAATAGAATTTCTGATATATATTTACTAATATGAAAAGGATCTACAAAGTGAAAGTATGTTTCGATGTCCATCAAACAAAAAGTGGAATTGCTGCAAAAAATGGATAAAGGCATATCCTTTGTTTCTCTAACCATTCGGAAATCTGTTTATCAATTTCACGCTGCTCTGCATGTGTGTGTGTGTGTGGGGGGGGAAACGCGGCAGCATGCAATGAATTGGAATCTGTCAGCACTATCCTTATCTTCAGGGCAGATGTTTTTATTTTATTTGGCTTATAATTCCTTACTAAATGTAGTATTTCATCTCGACGTACTCTGTCTTTGATATGATTTAAATCAAATTCATCGTCATTATAATTTGCTTCCAATAGTGAAGCAAGTGACACAGAGGTTATTGAAAACGAAAAAATTTTGATTGACAAATTAGCCGGTATTCTAGACACAGCAATTATAGGACTTGAACAGCGGAACTTTGTAACTGAACATGAAATTATGTCTGTTTATAGAATTAAAGAGAAATTATTATCGCATAAAACGAAGCAACTTAAACAACTTACATTGAAAGAAATGTTTAATAAAATAAACAAATAAATATTAAGCTTTTTCTTTTTGTAAATTTTGATACCCTTTAGATCATAATTGTTCTTTATTTCATAAATTACGGTTTCATATTTTTAATTTTATAATTTCTGCATGCCATCTTACCAGATTTAAACTGATGATCTATAATCCGGAATCGCCGAAGTCCCAACGAGTCCAGATTAACGACTTTTGACTGTAGCACTAAAATACTGAAAAGAAAAGAAAAATTGTTTATAGAAAATATAACGCGAGTTATTTTATCCTTTAGTTTTACTTGAAATGGAAATGAACTGGAACCTTAACTAATACATTTTTTGAGGAAATTATCCTAGTTCAAAAATAGTAAACAAGTAATGAAATGTTTTGTTATTTCAAATGGAAAGCTTCGAAAGCTTGTTACCTAGTAACCCTAATAAGAATTGCCAAAGTTGGGCATGCTCCCACTATTGGAGAAAACCTTATATTACCAGTAGCTAAAGATATTGTTTTAACATTATTCAATAAAAAAGCGGCTAACGAGTTTAATAATATTCCACTACGAAATGATACAGTAAGTCGACAAATTCATGAAATCGCAATTTCCATAAAATAGACACTTATTCAAAAAATGAAACACAGCGAGTATTTCGCATTGCAACTGCATAAAAGTACTGATATAATGAACTTTGTTTAATATTAGTTTATATACGTTTTGAGGAAGATAAACGAACTGCCACAGACTATTTATTTCGTTAATCTCTTCATGATTGAGAAACTGCAAATGAAATTTTCAAAGTAATTGAGAATTTTATGCCTGAAAATGATATTCCTCAGAACAAGTGCAATGCCGTATGCAGCGACAGAGCTTGGATTTTAACAGAAAAACATTCCGGTGTTATTTCTCAAATAAAGAAAGTAACGACTAAATTTACTCACTGCTCCATTCATCGTAAAGCTTTGGTAGCCAAAACAATCTAAGAAATCTTAAAAATCGTTTTCAATCAAGCTGCGAAAACTGTTAATTTTTAGAGTTTTAAATTCAAGAATATTTTTGATTTTATACCAAGAGATGGGCAGTGAACATGAAACACTTTTGTTACATCCTGAAGTAATATGGTTGTTCATAAGTAAAGTTTTAATTAGTCTTTCTGAACTTAATCAGAAATTGAAATTTTACTTTGCGATTCAAAATCTGAATTGCAAATTTGTTTATTTAGTGAATTATGGTTGGCGCATTTAGCATTTTTAACTGATATTTTTGGAAAGTTAAGCGAATTAAATTTAGGATTACAATGACAAAGTGCGAATTTGTTTACAATTAGAGATATAATAAATGCAATGATAAAAAAATTCAAACTAATAATCAAATAATCAGATATTTTAAGCTTTTTATCACTTTTCAAATGTTTTCTAAAGGAAACTAATTTGAAAATAAAAGAAGAATTAGCATTCGACATTAAAAATCATTTATTTTCTTGATAAATAATTCAACATGTATTTTTCAGAGGATTATGAAAACGGAAAATGGATTAGGAATCCATTTTATTCAAATGTACCTGAAATGTTACCATGTGAAGGAAAAGAACAATTGATAGAAATTTCCTGTGTTCGAACTACATATATAGAATAAATTAAGATTTAAAAAAAAAAAAAAAAAAAAAAAAAAAAATAGACATAACAGTATAGACAAAACTTGAAGATCATTATTACTGCAGCTATTACATTTCAAAGCAAATTCTGGTAATGAACATCATAAACAATGTAAACATGTATGAAATATGTTGTATTCAAGAATAAATTTACTACGTAATATATGAATGCATGGAGTTATTAACAATGGCAGGGCCAGATTAAAACTTGATGAGATCCTAAACTATTTGAGATATGGAGCCCTCTAAAGGATATCGGATAATTTTGGGGGCTCCCAAGAATGTGGAGGCCCTAAGCTATAGCTTGTGCAGCTTATATGCAAATCTGGCACTGAACAATGGTTAGGTACATAGTCTTGCTTTTTGATGCATGAGGGCCAGGGCAAACTGCAACAATATTTGTTACAACAATTTACTTCTTCTGTCTCTTGATACTTCTTTATATAAATTTTGGATTTGTTCTCTTAAAATTATTTCATAACTTCTAATTTTGTTAAAATCAAGACAGGATTTTGTAGATCATAGGTTTTCCTTCATTAGCAACCTAACATGATTTACAAACGACTGAAAACATTTTCAGTAAAAATGGTGCCACCCAGATGGTATAGTAATTAGGGGAGCCTGATTGCGATACCGAAGGGTCCGAGTTCGAATCCTGGATAAGGCATGTATGTAAAATTGTCTGTTCCTTCATAGGAGGTAATGGTAGCCGCCTTTTAGGTACCTCCACTGGTCTTAATAGTGAGTGGCCTACAGGCAAGTGACCACCATTGGGGAGGGGGAAAAAAAAAAGGGATACTTGAACCACATGAGCTATAACTTGGAGATCATAATACCACACAGTCATGAAGAAATCTGTAAATTTGACAAAATTCTGAATTCAGAAAATTTATGGAATTTTTTTTTTTTTTTTAAATACTAGTTATTTTTGGATCAACCTATGTATCGAAAAGTTTTTCCCCTATAAATTTTTTTTAAAGTTTTACCATTAAGCATCCCCAATCACTATTACGAGCAGTCTTGAGAAAGTCTGCAGCAATTGAAAATTTTTTTAAATTGTAAAAGATGAAAAACAGTATAATTCATTTAATCAAACTGTTGGTCACTAGAAAATTATTTCCAAGCCAGAATTCACTTTTCCTAAAAATAACAATTTATATAAAAATATTTTATTTGCAGTTTGCCATTTTTTAAATCCCTAATGTGGCTCCCCCTTTCGTCAAAATGTTTATACAAGCCCGATATAAATGGTCAGTGTTATATTGTGTTTTCATAAAAGCATACACTAAAAATTAAAAGTTTGACATTTTTATCTATTTATAATGCTGTTTAAATTTAACTTCTCAACATAAAACTGTCATACTCAACTTCAGATCATAAATCCTTTAATATGCAAATTTGACAACTTCACAAAATCTCATTTTGAATTTAATAATTTAAATTATTCAAGAAACAGTTGACAGAAATAGAGAAGAGACTTCTCAAAATATGGGTAATTTATTACAGGTTTTCATAATACAGAAAGACGACGATGGTGACGCATATAAGTTACATAATGGATGAACTTTTAAATTAATATATCAGACAATGAGGAAAGCGCATACAGGAGAAGCACGACTTCAGCCATTTTCACTAATAAAAGTAGTGCATTTAAAAACAAATACAGTTTTCAGTTAATAAAATCTGAATTAATACCTAAGATAGATAAGACAGCCAAGGAAATATATTTATTTAAAGTTTAAAGCACCTAATGTTATTTTTCATAATCTTTCTGCAGATCAAGAAACTATACTTAAACAGTTAAGCATCATTTGTTTCTGCTTTAATACCAAAAAGTATATCAACACAAAATGAAAAAATGTACAACTTTAATATCTGTTAAGTATAATGTGCTCAGTCATACATTAAAAATACCAGACATTCTACTGAGTTTGAATCTAGTCTTATTAATTTTTTTTAGTTTAATGATTAAATCCTGATTACTTTAGAAGTTTCATATCACTTCCACATACATACAGATTGCACATTGCAGAACACATGAGTATTATTTACAGATTTCATAAAGAAGCATTAAAGCTTAATTTATAGGAAAAAAAAAAAACAATCACCAACTAAATACTGAATGTTTTAATAAACTAACAAAATTAAAGAAATAAATAAAATAAAAACTAATCTAGAATAACTTTTTGGACATTCAAAACAATTAATAAACAACTGCAATTGATACACTAACATGGCATTCAACCAATACTTATGCAATGACTGAATAATTCGTTGATCAGAAAAAGACATGAATCACCATGCCATAGAATGCATGGATGTTAACACTTCACACTGGCTTTACAATATCACTGGAATTAATATCATCTGGATCACAACACACTAGGTATATTTTGCAGTCTTGAGCTACAAGTGAATGAAAGCACATATATGATCTTTAAGTTTCATTCTTCATTTTTAATATATCTAGGCTGCAATGGCCTACATATGTTAGTTTGTGACTAATAATGAAGAAATGTTACTATTATAAACAAGCTAAAGAATAGTAACATGATCATCAACAACCATGGAATATTTGTTCTTAGTGCAAAATTTCACTTAAAGGAACTATTAATGCAAGTCACAAATGACACCTTAAAGGAAACTCCAACCTCTTTAGCAAACATCCTTTTAAACGTAATTACAACCATCCACTGAGAGAGGCATAGAAATTTCCCTTCAAAATTTCAAATCTAATATTTCAGTTACTGAGTGGCAATTGTGTACTACTGTTAATATATTTGGCAAAACTGGCTTATTCAATAATCACTTAGAAACATATGTATATGTACGAGATGGAGACCGAAGAGTCATTGCTGGTGTTTCAGGAGGAGTGCCATTTAAGAAATCCCATATTAAGATAGTATCATCATGAGAACTACTGACAATCTGGAAATCATCAAACTGTAACCGAAATACTCTGCCAGAATGCTCTACAGAGGTACGCAGACAAAGAGTGCCTGCTGGTGCACGAGGATCAAGAGCAGCAGCCAAATCCCAAACTTTTATCTTTCCATCGTATGCTCCACTTACAATTCGTTTATTATCAAATTGTATGCATCTAACTAGCTCTTTGTGTCCTTCTAGAGTTCTTAAACATGCACCACTTTCAATGTCCCACAGCCTGATAGTATTATCAGAGCTTCCACTAACTACGAGTCTGTCTCTATACTGCAGACAAGCAATGCCACGTTTATGCCCATTTAAAGTACGAACAAATTCGCATGTGGAAGTATTCCAGACTTTTATAGTTCTATCACCTGATGCAGAAACTATATATTTCTCATCAAAATCTACAACATTTACAGCAGCCCTATGTCCAACAAGCACTCTCTGAATTGTTATTTCTGATGCAGACACCATATTCCACACAGTAATTGATCGATCTTTTGAACAAGTGACCATCATACCATTATTGAAGCGCAAATGTAGAACTGCTTCACAATGATGGATCAGAGTGTTGATGAGTTCTCCAGTTTTGACATCCCACACACGTACTGTTGAATCACTAGAACCACTAATAATAACTCTGTCATCATATTGAAGACACAAAACAGAACCTGTATGGCCTGTTAAAACTTGTATGCATTCTAATGAATTACGGTCCCATATTTTTATTGTGTTATCTCGCAGGCCACTCACAATCTTTTGGTCATCATACTGTACACAATAAACACCTTTGCTATTTTCACTCTGGCAATTAATTCTCTTTAATGTATGTCGGCCGCATCGCCAATTGGTCTCGATATTTTCAATATCTTGGATGATTTTGGGATATAATCTCCTATAAAACATGTGATCCGGATGTGGTTCCCCAGGTGAAGGTTTGAATAAATATTTAATCCAACCTCTTCTTTCCATTAGACCTCTCCATAAGGAATCAGTTCGCACACGCCTTTCAATCAATTTTTTCCACAGCATTCCTTCAGAAATCACTTGATACCATTCTTTACAAACTAGCTCAGCCGCGCAAAGCGATTTAGCATCTAAGTAGGACAGTATACTTTCAGCAATATGATCTAATCCTTTCTTTGGAAGAAGTGATATAAAATCTCTACGAAGCATTGGTCTTAAAAATGAGCTTACATGACTATGCTGATGGTGAAGCATCTTAGTTAAAAGTAGTTCTACGAATTCAGTTTGTTCAGATTCGCTCCATTTCTCGAAGTAGTGCAAACACATTTCGCGTTCACAAATATAATCTGCAGAAGATTCTTTATAATTTCCATATAAACACGTCACAGACGGTGGTCCTGTGATTGGTATTTCTTCGGACATCATGCCTGTTTCCATCAGACAAACTGAAAGCGAAAAGTGCACACAAAAGCAAATCGCGCAATAGGGAGACGCGAACACTATCGCCTCTCAACAAGATGTCCGCCGCTAATCCCCGGACCACACGTTCATCCTATGACATACGAATGCGCGATATAATGTAATCATTCAATAGCAATAAAAAATTACTTGCAGCTATTTTTACATTAAATGTAGACACTGTTATGCATTATACAACGATTAATAACATTAATATTGCACCGAAAAAGACATAAATGAATGCCAATTGTTAAAAGTGAAATCGAGAGTGAAACTACAGAAAAATTAACTGAACGTCAATTTTTGAGAGAAAGTGAGCAGTAATTTGAATTGGAAAAAAAAATATGTACACCTACCCCCAGTAAGAAATCTCTAATGCGTTAGAAAGACATAAAAAAGATTTTCAGTAAACATTACAAACACGTACCATTCGATAACGATGAACACCCATGACATAATTTCATTTTTTCGATATCGTTTGAATTTGCATTAATTACTTACTTTAACTAGCGTACTAAGAAGAGGAAATAATATCTAATTAAAAGTGAATGTTTATAGAAAGTGATCAATAAGTGTTTTAAATGCAAGCGTAAAAGTAATACGGAAACTTATTTATTCTTACTTGTGAACGGTAAGCTACATAATGAACGCTCACTGTCAGCAAGAATTTTCTGCAATAAATAACTAGAAATTGGATAAAGTTAACATTTTTCTTATGAGCTGAAATTCTGAATGCATTAAATATATGAATTATTGCATCACACAAAATGGAAACTATTATATCGTAAACGATATAAATCTTTGCATTAAAAAAAGTTAACATATTGATTTGATGTATTTTAAAAAACATTCTAAAAATTATTTATTTTTAAAAAAAAAATGTTAGTCAAAATTGCTTTTTGATGCACGAATAATGTACACATCTGCAAAATTTCCTGCTACTGTCAATACGATTCTCCAGCAGACGACGCTAGTTCGGGAATAACTGTGCCATCTGTTGGTGTATAAGAGAAACAGCTCAGTAGGCATGGAAGATGGCGACTGGGTCGGGCTGTTCGGTTAGTTTATCCGAAAAATTTGGATCTGATCCTGTTACAGATGAATCTTCTGAAAGTGAAGGAGATACAGGTTCGTCTAAAGCATTCCACAGAAGGATATCTACCTCAAAAGCAATCAAAAGTGGTGTAAGTAACAGATATTAAATGCTAAATTAAATTCTTAGGTCATTGCCTGTATTAAGAAATCAGTGATTTTTTTTTTTTTTACTTTGCCTATTATAAAAAATTTAGCCAAATAAAAAGAAAATAATGTTTGTTTAATTGAAATAAGTCTATTAAATTTTCTTTTGTATATTTCATTTAATTAGTGCTCACTGCTTTCTGTTTGTACTCTTACCAAAGTGGGATTAAACAGATTTTATACATTTATATAATTAAAGCAGAATTAAATAGTTTCTAAATAAAATCAAATTATGATAATATCATATTTTGAAATGTGAGTTTTCTAGTAATTTGAAAATCATTTGTGATTTTGTGGAGCTATTAGATTTAGTAATAAGGATTTAGTAATAAGTTTGTCAGAATACTAATGGATAAAAAGTACCTATGACAGTTTTTTTGAAGGAAGTCAACTCTTGCAATTTGCAGTTTCATCGTAAACATATTTATAATAGATCGAGTATTTGTATTCGGGAGTGTTTGACATGTAGAACATTCCTTGTTTGGGATCTTTGCACATTTTGTTAGCATGATATGATAAATGTGGAGATGAAGAGAAATAAGACTTCAACTTTCGTAAAAATCCTTAAAAAAAAAAAAAAAAAAAAAAAAAAAAAAAAAAAACATTAAAATTAATCACATAGCAAAGAATTAGGCACACTAGTGATTAAAAAAAAAAAAAAGCTTGCAGTGAGGAAAAAGTAGGGGGAAAAATTGTATTTCTAGAAAAGTCATATTATCATTCTTTTTAAATGCTTTTTTGTAGCAGTATTTTCTGAAAACCAGAATTTTTTTTAAAGTCTATTTTATCATTTGTCTTCAAGCAATTATATATTCATTTATGTTACTGCAATCTCGCAATAATTTTTTCCGGTTGATCTTTACATTACGGTAACTTGGCGATTTTTTGGCGAAAATTTGGCGACCAACTCCCCTACAGCAACCCTCTATTTTTTTTTCCCTCCGCCATTTTGTCTTCACGAAGTAAAGACATGTTTCTTTTCTTCTTATCTACTGAACACTTCTTCCAACAATCTACTAGCCGAATTACACTTATGCTAGAAATTTTATCAAACAAAACTGCTTAATCATGACAAATATTCACTGCAAAATTCGGAAAAAGTGCACAATACCATACACCTTACGCGTTTTTCAAAATAACACATACACATAAACCATGTACACGCCGACTTATTTTTACTTAAAAAAAACATCCCAGAATTGCACAAAAATGGCATTGCGCACACTCTTCACTATATCCATGTACACTGCTTTTTTCTCATAAATTTAAAAAATTTCACGAAAATACATGACAATTTTCTCAATCTTTAAACCCGGTAGGTAAAAAGAACATATATGAAATTACCTGATCGCGAAAAAGTATTTACCCTTTGCAAATATTAACATTTCCACATATAAAATAAATAAAATATCCAAAAACTTTTACCTCTAAATCATCTATTACATTATACACGTCACCAACGAATTCATACCGCAAGCATTACAAATATTTAGTATCAAATATTTAAATTATTTCCATGCACGTTTATTTCAACTTAAACGTAAACCAAATTCCTACAAAGCATAAAATTCACAAAATAACTATCATTTCATTAAAATATCACTGAACCATGTACACGTCGACTTATTTTTACTTAAAAAAACATCCCAGAATTGCACAAAAATGGCATTGCGCACACTCTTCACTATATCCATGTACACTGCTTTTATCTCATAAATTAAAAAAATTTCACGAAAATACATGACAATTTTCTCAATCTTTAAACCCGGTAAAAAGAACATATATGAAATTACATGATCGCGAAAAAGTATTTACCCTTTACAAATATGAACATTTCCACATATAAAATAAATAAAATAAATAAAATATCCAAAAACTTTTACCTCTAAATCATCTATTACATTATACACGTCACCAACGAATTCATACATGAAGCATTACAAATATTTATTATCAAATATTTAAATTATTTCCATGCACATTTATTTCAACTTTAACATACACGAAATTCCTACAAGTATAAAATTCACAAAATAACTATCATTTCATTAAAATATAATTAAATTCAGAAACACCACTTAAAATATACATGAGCACATACATTCAATTAATAAAAATTACCTTACAATCCTAATTACTTTAAACTAAATCATTGCTAATAACAATTTTCCCAATAATACCAAATTCCTTTCCACCTTACATTTCCAACAATGCATAAAAATAATTAAAAATACTAACTTACCTAATCTCCTTCACAATCTTCATTACGTGGCGGATACACTTTTCTTAATTCTCTTTCAGAATCTTTAAAATCATACTTATCTTTCAAAGCAAGATACCACGTAAAATAAATAACATAATAAAACATGTTTATTTCTCTCTCACACAACCTTAAAAAACATTTCTTACTATCCTTTTCAATACCACTAAATACCCATTTCGAATTCACTTTACTTACGGCCATGGGATCCAAAAATTCACAAACACTATTTCACACAACACAGAATAAAGCCAAATACAAAATTCCCAGATTTTTCCCCATTAAAGAACAGTAATTCGTCCATTAAAATCACATGACATATCCCATGATCTCTCATTTCCCTCACACAAAATTATGCGTAATCAGAACTAAATACTACTCACATTCTTAACAAAGTCTAACTAACCTAATCTTCTTCCGAATCTTGAGTGTACATGGTGGATAACACTTTTTATTATGGATTCAATAAAATTACTGAACGATTTTTTCTGTTTTTTTTCCGAATTTTTCCTCCAAACTTCCTCCGCTAAATAAAAAGCAAAATTCTGCTTGTCGCATGCCTAGGAATGGCGCTTTTTATACCACCTCCAGGTGCCCTCAATTGTGCTCGTATGCGCACCTGTTTCCGGATCTTTGAAATGATACTTATGGTTAACAGCAAGATGCTGAAAACCCTTCATCCTCCAAACATTGCATATGATTTCCAGCAATCTGAAATTATTATTGTACCCAGGTAAAATATACTGCTTTTATAAAACTTCAATAAACAATTCTTTACTTCTATCTGGCACAACCTTGAAAAAATACTTATTACTTTACCCCTTTCAATCCCACCAAACACCCCCATTTTCCTTCCACTCTCCTACCTCTCTCATACTTACGCTTCCCAAACTTACTCTCATCAATTTCCACAATCACATTCATACCACCAAGCATACCCATATCATTTTCGCAAAATTCCACGCACACTTCCTACAAAAAAGAATTCCAATCAACTGCAGTCCTACTACTAATTTCTAAATACGAAATCCAAAAGTCAACCGGCAATCTATTCACCCAATAATAAGAAATTCAATAAAAATCTCACCCAATACTCAAACGACTTTCAGCAAACCACGTACCCTTCCTTATATTACCCGTTTCACAAAATGTGCATTTTCACCAGATTTCTTGCACCAGCCATTCAAACTTATCTGTAATATCCTTCCTTTCACACAATCTCATTTCATTCCACATGTTGGACATTCATACTTATCCGCAATTAAACCTACACTCGTATGCACCATTCAACCAATTCTTTTGAATTATCACATAAATGTATTAAAAATTTTCGAATTTACTTTAGACAGCGCCATGCGATCCAAAAATTAATTCAACCCTACTTCGCACAACACACAATGATTAGCAAAAATAATAAATAATACAAAATAAAATGCTTAATACAAAATAATAGTACATCCACAGATACTTCTCCAAATTCCCCCCTTTTCCGATTAAAGAACCGTAATTCGTCCAGAATATCACATGACATATCCCATGATCTTTCCGATTAAAGAACTGTAATTTATTTCGTCCATTAATGTCACATGACATATCTCATGATCTCTCATTTCCCCCACACAAAATAATGCGTAATCGGAACTCAGTACTCCTCACATTATTACCAAAGTCCCAGGTAGTAACCTTTATCGCCTCCAAAATGTCGCCAAACTACCAGTTACCGTAATGTAAAGATCAACCTTTTTTCCTTATAATTTTTATTATTTTCATCTGTCTCATTACTGGGAACTATTAATGTCTTGATTTTAAATTATTTTAACTGTTATACTATTAGTTACTGGAATATTATTATAGATCTATATTTTGAACTCCCACCCCATTGTGTGAACAACACTGCTGGGAGACAATTTTAAATCCGGCCCCGAA